TGCTGGTGGAGATAACACAGAAATCTCAACATTTGTCGTCAGTAGAGAATATAGCCTTTCAGTTCAATGATGCATGTCATCAGTGGCTAGTTATAGTGACAAACGTATTGAAATTTCCATAACTGAATCAAAACTGTGAGTTTTCCATTAATGAATAGCTCATATATCAATCGTAGTACCAATAGCCGATGACAATGTATCAGTTTTGTTCTGCTGAATAATAGGTATCCGATATCTATTGTGAATTTATATCAATGGCACCATTCGCCAACCTTTATCTTTGTTTGTTCCCAGCAAACTCGTTTGATTGAAAAACAGTGAGCCTGGCCACCGATTTATCTATCATGAAACACATATTTATCATCAAATAATATCAAAACAATATTGTTTGCTATTTTGTTTCATGTAGTTTTTTCTGCATATTTTATTCAAACTGTCCGGCTGGTTTAAAAAAATTAGACATTTTAATAATGAAAAAGTTTTTCAAATCGGTCCGGTAGTTTCCGAACATATTCAAACAAACAAACAAATCTTTCCTCTTTATAATATAAGTGAAAATGATGAATGAAGATGATTCATCATTACGATTATTATTATCATTATTTTCATTACGATAAATATCATTATCATTTTCATTATTAATATTTCATTATCATCATCATCCCAAACAACAGGGAAAAGGAATAATATTTGAGGGTTTTATAATCGACTTTCATGAATGAACAATAATGTAGCTGAATGCGTTCAACAATATCAGATAGATTTCGAAATATTATATAAAATCAATTTCAATTTGTGACCTATATAAGTATCCCAATCACTGTATTTTAATCATGGGATCAATTAGGTATTTCCAATCAATTCTTGAGATTTCTTACAATGAGAAAGTTCCATAGCGAAGGAATAAGACACCAACACAGTGTATCTCTCAACTGACGCATTATCGACATTCACGACAAATCAAGTGTATTCAAACTGAAAACCTTGTGAAATATTCTACTAATTGATCACGTTTCTCGACATTTACGACAAATCAAGTGTATTTAAACTGACAACCTTGTGAAATATTCTACTAATTGATCACGTTTCTCAGCAATACGTCATACAATATATAATTTTTCACTCAACTATAATTAATTATATGTATTGAATGCCTCTAACGATTCCAATTTCATTCTCATGCACAGTTCATTGAATCGAATTGAATCTACCAGGATTATTGTATCATGGTAGTAGTCGCTGATATAATTTTATTGATTCGTCACTTATTATAAGAAGATGTGACGAAATCATATTTTTATTTTCAATCTTAAGATCATTACTGTCCTTATTCATAGCAGGAAGCGGTGAATGTGAAAACCATTTAAAGGGTCCTTCTTTCATAATCTTTCATCGAAACCCTATTGAAACTACGAGCAATCCGTCTACATGA